GCTGCCAGAGCAGTCTGTGAGCTCTGCCTCTGGGTTATCTCTGGAGTGTCTCCTGTCAGATTTGTCGCCTGAGACAATGCAGCTTAATTACAACTCAATCAGCACGCTTCAAGGATTTAAGACAAACTTCACAGGAGCTGAAGGGTTAGGGGACATTGCTGTCCCTCATGGCAGCTGAGCTGGAGCTGCTGAGCCTCCCCCAGGTGCAGCACTGGGAGGTGTAGCTCAGGACAGGTTCCTTCTGCTACCATCAAGCAAAGCTCTGCAGGCATCCCTCACTGCAGCTCCTCCAGGCTCAGGGCAGCACTCGTGCTGACTGAAGCCTCGGGTTCTGGGTATTCACTGCTGCAGGAATGTTTAAATTTTATAGGGAGTATTTCTCACCTCCCTCTCTTAAGCCAGATACTGCTGCCCTTCTGACTCCTGGTGCATTGGCTCAGAAAGAACGGGCTGCATCACAGACACCTGAACATAACCTCAAAGAGCTCCTTCTGTGCTCGGCAGTGCCTGGGATGGTCGAGCCTGGCCATAGCTTGCACTGAAGTTGCCTCACTCTTCCATTTCCAAACTCTGTGATGATGATGGATTTGTCTTGAGTATCTTAAGGAATTAGCCAGCGCACCTTGGAGGGCAAATATATTTTTTCATTAATAGCTTTCTGTATCTTAAATATATGCAGATATGCTTGAAGGTTCGCAGTATGGAGGAAAGCAGGAGAGATGTGTGCCTATACAGCAAGGGAATCCATGGGCTGAGGGGTGTGCAACGTGATGCAGCCACGTGCCTTTGTCATCCAGCTGTTGCTGCTGTGTGTGCTGTGTGCCTGCATGTGCAGAACTCATCAAACACAGGAGACCTTTTGCTCTGAGTAAATCTGCGATGTCCTGTACTGGGATTGGGATGTGCTAACCCTCGCGTAGAATCTTCCCTTTTCTGCTAGATTACAACTTTTTAATAATAATAACAATCTTCAGCTGAAACTTTTGCTGTTCTTGCTGCTGTGAACCACGAGGTCAAATGCATTCACAGCTCCCCACCAGCAGGAAGCTCACTTCCATCTCTGCAGGGAACTCTGACACATGGCAGTGGGGCATCAGTAGGACTGTGGAAGTGGCATCTTAAATCTGTGGCAGCAGCATGCTTTGTGTACATGGAGATAAAGCTTGGGCTATGAGATGAAAAGCAGTAAAGCCCTGTCCTGTCTTCAGGGATACAGCTAGAAACTAAACCCCAAACCAGCCACTTTACAGCAGACTACCTCTCTCGGATCATTTTCTTCCTGCTACAAGAGGAGAAATGGATCATGCTGTAATCATGGGAGACTCTTAAGACCAAAATAGAAGGTGGACTCAAAACCTCTGCAAAGAAAATGTTTGTCTCCCTAATCGTTTTTCGCTTCCATGATGCTTAGTATGATAAAACTATCTTTCCCCTTTATTTTTCAATCGCAATTACACTTTAATGTTGTTAAAGCTTGTAAGTGACTTTGAGCTACTGTCGCATTGAGGAGGAGATGGAGCTGAAATTGTCAGTGAGGCATTGGACAGGGTTTTTTAATGTGTCTGTCATTGTATGTTAACCTCTGAACCGGGACACGGCGTCTGTTTGAGAGCTGACAACAATTCGGAGGTATACGCCTTGACATCGTGGATAAAGGAAGATGGGGGAGCGGGGACAAAAAAATGAATTAATGATGTTAGCAAATATTAGTCCCTGTATTTCCATTCTGTTCAGAAAGAGGTTGTCAGGCTTTGAGGCTGGCTGGAGCAGCATTGTCCATGACAGCCAGTCTAGATGCGATTGTACCTTGACTCGAGCCAAGCTTTTATTGACAAATACAGTGCCAGGAGGTATGGCTGGGGCTGCTCTGCTGTCCCCTCCAGGAGGAGCATGGCTTTTTTTCTGCAGCTCTGCTTGACACTTGAGAACGATGATTCCTTGCTGGAGCTCCCTGCCTTGCTCCAAAATGCATCGGGAGTCAGGGGAGTTGGAAATGCCTCTTAATGAGTACGGCTGCTGCATACAGAAGCTCGCATTTGCCTGTGATTTATGCTAGCTATGGTCACCCAGATCCACCTACCTAAGTTGGCTGTCAGGAGTAATAGTGACTTTGAGATCAGCTGTATGTGTACGTAAGCAGCAAAAAGTCAATGGACAAGAATTAGGGATAAATTAGGAAATTCCAGTGCCTCTTAAGGCATTTTTGCCTATCTTTGCGATCTCTTCCTGGATCTCTTACGTGACACTGCTTGTGCTTTGGCACTTGTGTGCAGTCCTGCAAGAAGATTTGTTGCTGTGCTGCTATGAATTCCTCTACCTGCCTGTGGTTCTTCAGCTGGCACTTCAAGAGTAACCCCTTCACACATGTGGCATGTTGTAATTTTGCCTTTTCTCTAGCATCTCTTACACGGTCCTGACTGCTGGCATCTATCTCAAATCATGGGAGCAAATTATGGGAGCCTGGGATCACGTTATTCCTTAACTATCATTAGTTACATGTGTATCTGCAGTGCTTCGCACAGCATGCCAGCAAGAAAAGAAATTGAGCTGGCTTAATTGAGAGCTGTATAGTTAATTATTAGTGCCTTTTTAAAGGAAGAGAGAGAATTTGCAATGTCAGGGTTTCATTTCACTGTGGTTTGCAAGGTAACTCACTGGTTGTCATCTGTCTTGGTATGACGTTTGCTTTGCCTCTTCAGCCCCAAGAGCCCTTTTTGTAGACTGTAGAGATGTCAAGAGATGTAAGAACTGCACCAGCCCATTGCAGATCCCTTCAGATGGTATGAGCAGCACGTAAACCACCAAACGCTTCTTCTTTGTGCTGCAGTGTGGCTTGGAACGAGCAGCAGCTCCTATCCCACTTCTTGCCTGGTTTCTTTGCTCCATCACCCTTGGATTTCGCAAGCACATCCCTGGCAGGCCGGGCAGTACGGATGTTGGCAGCAGGCAGCTGAGCTCAGGGTATAGGCAGGTTGGCAAGGCTGGCTGGAAGGAAACCAGTGTGTGCCTGCGTCAAGGCTGAGCTCCCATCGCTCCTGAGAAGGAGTGCTGTTCCAAGCCTGGGCACATTCCCCATGGGAAGCCCAGCCACGGTGATGGATGTTGGAGCACGGTGCTGCTTTTAATGGCTTTGCAGAGCACAGGCACACGCTGAATCCTGAGAGGCTAGCTGAGACATTTGCTGTACATTTTTCATAAATTTGTTCTACGGACTGTGGTGGAATAAGCTTGGTTCAACATTCATAGGTTGGGTATTGGGTTCCCTATTTCTGTATGAAGGAGAGGAGGTAAAAGCTGCTTGGACAAAGCAACCTGTGTATGGATTAAGAACCAGAGAAGTTGTCATCTGAGCATTTTTGGGAAAGCCTCTACCATTAAGTTTCCCAGTGGCCTTAGGTGTACTCGATCAGTATGATTAATCTTTGGTGCAAATGCATCGGGTTGCACAAAGGAGGTGAACTTAATCCAAGAAACCTGTTTTACAATTTTTGCCTCTAGGAAGATGAAATCTATTTTCTCAAGTGTTGTTTCTGGCTTTGAAAAAAGCAACCACCCAAAACTGTGGTGTGAAGAGAGGAAAGGACGCAGATTAAAAATGTTCTTGTAGTTTCTGGAGTTGGTTGGGAGTCCATTGGCCCCCAGCATCAAAGAAGGTAGGCTAAGTGTGAGTATAGCTTCATGTCATAGAAATAGCTCTTCATTTTATAAGAATAGCTCTCGCATGCAGTAGCAGCTGATCTGAAATTAATTCTCTTTATAAGTGGTGTGGAAATAATTGATGGACAGTAAGGTTCTCTGCTAAATAATTTTTTAAGAGGGGCACTGCACTGGGAAGACTCTAAAGCCCTTTCCCTTCAGGAGAGAACAACTTTGTGTCACCTTTTGCTCTAAATTAGAGAAAGCCAACTTGCCACAGAATGACTTTCATAGCCAATTTCCTTTTCATCTTTTCTTTTAAAGCAATGCCATCTGCAAACCCAAATATTATGGCTTTGGGCTAATACAGGAGAGCTGAAAGGTGGATCTGGTTCAAGCTGGGCAGAATGTAAATGTACTATGGGGAAAAAAATTATTTAAAACAAAAGCAGCTTAGGGAGCCAGGAAGAAAGGCAACTTAAAGCATTTACTTTAAAAAAAATCAACATCCTTCTACGTAGAATTGTGATGAGGCAGCACCATTTTTGGTGTAGTCAGCAATGTATTGCATCTACTGAGAGGGGGCTAGAGTTGGGCCAGCTTTCCCTTGCTTCTCTGATTTTATTCATCTTGGGTATGATGATCTCTTGTCACAGAAAGCAGAACTGCCCATTGCCAAGGGCACATTGCAATTAATGGGCTGTTTTGTAAGGCAGCATTGGCTGAGAATTGCAAACCAGTTTCGAGTGCTCCCCTGGAGAATGGGGTGCCGGATTCTCTAGAGCAAGCAGGGGTCCCTTTGGCCAGCACAAGAGGTTCAGGCTTTCAGACACAGGCTTTTATTCTGTTCTGCAAATCTGGCATGGAGTTAAAGTCAATCGCAGAGCCCGAAGTGCAGGATGCTTTTTGAAGGTAGGCCTGCGGCTGCGTATCGATCAATCATCTCTCTAATTGTTCATTTCTATTATGGTGGGAATCATTCAGAATCCTAGAGTTCCTGGGAGTAAATCATTTGGAAATGCTACCCATTATAAAATTTAATTTTAAATCTATATTAAATAGATTTCCAAAGGCAAGCTTTGCAATCTAGTAACATAACATTATGCCGCTGCACAGCGGTGCGGCTTTGGGTCCTTGGGGGCCATGGCAATGCTTTGGGTCCCTGTTAGCAGGATGGCTGGGCCACCAAGCACACCTCTGGGGTGAGCCCATGGCTGTGTGCACAGCAGCATCCATCTGCCTCCTCCTCCGGATGGGAAGGGTCACAGATGGGGCTTCCGGAGGGCTGAGCTCATCCATGGGAAAGGTCTGGGAGGTGAACCTGGGAGCCAGGATGCTGGGACCAACCTTTCTTTTTCTTTCAGACGACAGAGAAGAGGGGGAAAGAAAGCAAAACTGCGTTTGGAGGCCCTGTTGTCAGCTCATTGTATCAAGAAGAAACAATCAGGTGATTATCTGTGCTGGGCTTCAGTTGAAAACAGTATTTTTCTCATGTCATCTTGTTAAGCTTTTTTTTCTAATATCGCACAAGTGCGGTGGCAACTACAACAGGATAATAAATGACAGGAAAGAACTTTTCAGGTCCATAATCATTTAAATCAATAACTCTCTGTATCACTGCCAGGTACTAACCTTTCCCTGGTGCGAGATGTGGGGGGAAGGGCAAGGCTTCCCATTTTTCAGTTATATGGCTAAAAAAAGGTAATATTGGCTTTTTTAATAGAAAGCTATTCAGACACCACCTTTCTCAAATAGTTATTTCTTTACCAATATGTTCATTAAGGTCTGTTCAGTGAAGGTTTTAATATTGGACAATGTTTGCCTTCGGGGAGAGCTTGCACCTTATATCAAATTAATTTTTTCTAGGTTCTGCAGCTAGCATAGCAGAAATGCATTTACTGAGCTAGAATGGCTGCTATTTAAAAACTGTCAAAGTGCAAGTACTCAGTGACATTAGCTACTGAATAAGGACAAGTGGGTTTTTTTGCTTGTTTTTTATTGTTCCACACTACTAATCACAGGAGTAGTATTCATTCCAGTATGTAAAGGATTACCTGGAGAATCTTTGAGAATGCAGCATTATTTTTAGTTCAAATGAGCAGGCTAAATGAGAGGGCTAAATGTTTGAGCAGCGTTTGCTTGTCGTGTTGCAGTCACCCATTTATGTGTTTGTGATCCCATTTGTTTTACTGCGTGTCTTGCATCATTTTAGTCTCAGGAAATTAAAAGATAAACACTGATTTCTGTACATACCCTCTCAAGCTTGCTGTGAATTTTCCAAGCCTTCAAACTCTTAACGCGGCATTTCTTTGGCTGGTTGTCACACATGAGTGAAAAGTAAAACGTGAGCAGGTGGCTCCAGCCCCTCTGCGAGGAGATCAGGTAGGAATTGGAGCAGGCAAACACCGCAGCAGCGCTGCACTCAGCTGCAGCGTGGGCACATCCTTCAGCATTGCAGCCCACTCCTGAGCAAGATGGAGCTGTTGGCCAGGAGCAGCCAGGCCTGGAAAGCCATCACATCTTAACGTGCACCTGGACCTTGACCAGACAGGCAGGTGTGACCTTGCTTTAGCATACTGCTTGAGGAATAGCCCCTCTGCTGGCCGCAAGCTCCTTTTTCTTCCCTGCTCTGTCAGCGTAGGTCTCAGCCAACATCCTTGATGTCATAACTTGACCTTGTGGTCTAAATTCTATTTGAGCTGCTCATTCAGGAGTTGAGCATATTAGTGCTGCCTTGCATTGAGTGCTGAATGAGATGTTTATTCCTACAGTCCTTTCAGAGTCTTTGCTGTCCCAGGTATTGCCTGAGCAACTTCTGAGCATGAAACAGCACAGTATCCAGAAAAACCAACTTTGCCTCAGCTAGGTTACTCTAAATCTTCTCTTCATATTTTTGTTACTGTATCCATGAGAACATTGCTTGTGGAGGACATGAAGATGACCACAGCTCCACATAATTTTTCTAGACTTACCATGCAGAACATACTGTGTGTTTTTGTGTGGCGGTGCTCAGATAGTCGTGGACTGGTATAGCATAGCTGTAATCCTTATAAAACGTGGCTGTGGATGGATGTACTCACTGAACATAGATGGTACAGTGAGATTCTGCTGAAGGTGAGTTGAATAAAATCTCTTGACTTTGTTTGTAGGAGCTTTCACGTGGTCCATTAGCACTGTTTGGCCAGTAGGCATCAGTGTCTTCAACTGCGAGTTAGGAAGTGAGGAAGCATCAGCGTCGTCTCATCCACAGGCACAGCCTCACCTCTCTCAGTGCAGTTGCCCATGTACTATGGCTTTTGTCTGGTGTTTGTTCTCTTACTAGAGTAGGGGGTAAATGTCAGCAAGTATAATTGCAACCTACCATAGTTCTAAGTAGCAAAATTGCACTGGTACAAAGTTCGCAAGTAGCTGAGCCTCAGAATGGCTGTAGACATTTAATTTGGCATCCAAGTTTAACTAGAGCATGGAAGTGGTTTGGGTTGATAGTACTCAAATGATAAGGAGACTTTAATTGGGCTGGGAGTGCTTACTTACAAGAACGTGAGATTCTGTAATACTTGATTGCATTTATAAGCAGTATACTGTCTTAAAAACAAACAAATAAAAGATCCCTCTGAAATATTTCTGTGAAGAAGAAGGAAAATTAAAGTGTTCATTTTCATTATGTTGCTCCTAGGGATTCCGAGGGATTCCTAGGGATCCCCTGTAGATAAGAATCCAGGCTTTTGTCTTTGGTTCAAGTGTTAGCTGATGGCTCCTGAGTTGGAAATTGTGTATGGCACAATGCAGTAAAAGGATTTGTAAGTGTTGCACCAAAAGCTGGGAACTTATTTGTAATTTGAGATTTCATGGGCTTCTATGTGTAAGTAATGTGTTGTTCAAGAGGGAATAACAAAGTTTTATTGGTGGAGGGTTGTAGCATGTTCTAGAAGGCTGAGGGGTGAGAGAAGCAGAATAAGAAAACTTAACACCTTGAGCCAGCAAATATTTGCATGTTGGAAGTTACCAGTAAGTGTGAAGCTGTAGTTTCTGTGTGTGGGTGCTGCTTTGTAGCCTGAGATCTGAGGAAGGAAACTTTGCAGACCATCTCGTGGACTTGGTTGTCAGTGGTGTGCCTTACTGATGCTTTGCAACAAGCTTGCCAAAATTGAAATATTAATCACTTTGGTCTCTGTTTCCCTTAGCTGGTGGGATAAATATTTTCCAATTATAGAGCCATAGAAATGGAAGCCCAGAATGAGCAAAAGTCTTGTTTTGGCTACCGAAAACAAAAACTCATGTCCTCCTCAGCCCTGGGATCTGACAGACTGCTGAAAGCAATGAATTCCGTAGCAAGCAGTGCTGTGCCAAACGCAGGCTCCCATGTGTCCTTTAGGATTCAGCTGATGCAAAGGCAGAGAAAGGCTGTCCAATTTATCTGGAGCCCAGCATCTTCACAGCCTCACCAGGCACCAGCAGATAGGCAGGAATGCAAGTGCAGAGTTTTGAAGGCTCACCTAAGCAGATTCTCTTAATTTATGCTTACCAGAAGCATCTGAACAGTTGAACAAATGATTACATAGCAGCAGCTGGCAGTAGGTTAACAGGGAGATGAGGGATCTTGTTTTAAGAGTAGTGTAAACCATGAGTTTACTGTCAGCAGTCAATTACAGTGCAGCAGCACTGCTATTGCTTTCAAAGTGAGTTTCTAGAATATACATAAATAATGCTTACATTCCTTCTGTGGAACAAAGTGCTTGGCTTTTAGGGTGCAAATGCTGGGCAAGGGGAAATTGCCATGCCATACCCTGAAGTCAGGTGGATTCGGGGTTGGGAGAGCTGGGATGGAGCCAGGGCTGAATTTGCTTTATCACTAATTATCTCAAATGTTTCCACTTCGAGAACATGATAGGAAAATGGTCAGTCTGGCTCATGTAACCACATTGCAAGGATTCCAAATAAATTCAAGAGCATCCATAGAAACAGGTTATACTGATCTAATTAAATCAATTTAGAGAGAGATTCAGTTAAATCAGTGCAATTTGCATGTTCATAGATCAATCCTCAAATCAGAAGAAGGTCTCTTGAGCTAATGAGGCGTAGCAGTTATTTACTTTGGGGTGCTGGGCACTGGTCATCAATTAGGAGTCATTAATAAAGCCTGGCAATAAAGAGCTGAAGTACCCCCAGTGACTAATGGGGAACAGTTGCAAAATGTATTAGCATAGTGCTCTGCCTTTGTGTTTCTCTGTAAATCACTTATCTCACTTTGGGCATTAGATAAAAATAGTGTGTGCTGGTGGTGGAACTCGGAGATTTCCCTTGAAGGAGGGTTTAGAAATGATCTGTGGCTTCAGGCTGCTCAGCAGTGGTGGCTGTAGTGTTGGGTTATTTTCCTGCTGCATAAAGCTTCATGTCTGTTCTTAATGCCCGAATGAAAGCAGTGGTGGCTGAGCTCTTCCATGAACAAATAACTATAATTACAGTTTCGCAAAGCTGGGAAGTAAACAGTGGGATGAGGCTGACTGATGTGTCACCAGTATAAATCTAAGACGCAGACTGAGGGAGATGTCCAGGAGTGTTGCACAACTGGAAATTTAACTTCAAAGTTCTTTTTAAACATTTTTGTAGGAGAGAAGGAAAAAGAAAAAAAAAGGCAGTTTACAAATGTTTCCAGCAAACTTGTCAGATAGCAAATACTGCTGCCAGACATCCGCTCCCATTTCCGAGCACAGCAGAGGAGCTGCCTGCGTGTGGACTGTGCCTGCTGGTATGGAATTGAAATCCCTTGGGTGGCTCTGAGGTCCCACTGAGCTATGCGATACGCTGTCATCCCAAGGGGTGAAAGGAGCTCTTTTCTGACAAACCACCACGTTTTCCTGCAGCACTCTGGAGCAGAGGGGACCTGTGTGAGTCCTAAAGCAGGGAGCCCGCTTTAGGAAGCGGGGGCCATTGAGCAGTCAGGTGGTGACCAACACCCCCAGCACTCCTCTTCCCGTCCCCCTGGCGTTTGGAAGCCAGCCCGCTGCCGTGTAATCTATCAGAATTGTATTAATCCCACTAACGCAGCCGCCATCTGGCCCCGCTGCCGGCCGGCTCGCGCGAGCCTCCGTGATGGATGGGCTCTGGAATTGATTAGTTGTTCTGCGAGACAAATGAACTGTTTTGGCAGAAAATACCAGAGGTCGCTGCGTGTGGTCAGGCACAAAGGCTGCTGAATTTTAACGAGCTGCTTCCAGCATCCACGGTGAAGGTGCTGCTTCGCTTTGCAGCCTTTTCGGGGAGAGCCCGGCGCGTGGCTGGGGGTTGGTTCCTTCCTTCCAGCCTGCCTCTGGGAATGCCAGCGATGGAAACAAGAGCGACGCTGGCGTTAGGTAGGAATGGATGCTCTGTCCATGGTGCTTCCACAACAACCGCCACGTTTGCTCTGGGTTTATGGCTTCCCCAGGGTGGTGACCTTAGGACTGT